AAGTGCAGACACAGAGCTAGACTCCTGAGCCACAGGAAGAATAAATTCTTTCCAAAGCAGGATTGCCTGTTTGATTTGTTTTTGTAGCCTGCAAATAAAGTATCCCATATGTTTCTGATTGTGAGTGAAATGGAGGGGAAAATAAAACATCCTACTTTCAAAGTGGGATCCAAATGTTCTCAAATGTCTCCTTCCGTGGTTGGGGATTTTATTATGGTCTCCAGAAATATTATGACCGACCGGGTGTACAATTCAAAAAGAATTTGTACAGGTGTCCAAGCAAGATGATTCTTTTCTGAAGCCTATTTAAATTCCTCTGCTTCTTGTATGGGGAAGCATGATTTAAAAATATTATCTGGACATGACTGATGGGAAATAATGCTAAATTTAAAACTTCTGATGACTACAACTTTTAAATTTGGGGTTAAAAAAACAAATTTCAGATAACACCAACAGGCTTATGGTTAGAACACAGAAGAAACTGAAAAATACAGAAAAACGCTGAGATAGCAGAAAAATGTCCTGTGTAGCCATGTCCCTTCAACTATTTTCTTCTTGTATGATTTGAAAACATTAATCACAAGTAATTTTGGAGAAAGATTTACTGTATTTTAATGTATGTATTTTTTTAATTTATATTTGAACTAAATATGTTGCAAACCATTTTCTAACCTAAGATGGTCCCAATACTAATCCATGATGTCTTCCCATTTCTGTAGAATGCAATGTTTATATTTAAAATTAACTCATCTAAAAAATACTTCTGGTGCCTAGAGTATGGGGAGATCCTAACTTATTAATTTTCCAATTAGCAAAAATTCCCCATATAATTTAATGAATAATCTATCCCTTTACTAATGGTTTCCAATGGTTCTGTGGTGGTTTTAGTTGTTAGTTACTAGATCTCAGGGAGCATTTCCAGGCTGCCGCCGTTACACCAACATGGCTGTTGATTCTTGGATCCTCTCTCTATATTCTACTCACTGTCACTTTATAATACTTTTTAATAACTTATTGGGGAAGTCTCACTATGTAGTTCTTTTAATTTTATCTCTTAGTTACACATTCCTTCAGAAGTCTGTAGACATATTTGGTCCAATTAAAAAAAATTACACTGAAATAGGATTAAATTAAATTAAAATGTATAAATTGACTAGAGAGTCTTAGTAAAATTAAATGTTAAGTCCATGTTGGTCTCCTGCTGCTCTTCCAACATATCCAGGAATGTCCCACTTTAAGATGTCCCTGCCTCGAACATCCTTCCCCAGATACTGACAAAGCTTGTCCGCTCCCTGTGCTCAGGTGTCTGATTAAAACGTCATCTTTCCAGAAAGGTCTCATCTGACCCCCTATGGTCAAATAACAGTGCCCTCCTCACACTCCATCGACTTCGCCTGCTTCATTTTGCTTCACAGCAATGATTAGTATGTGACATGGACGTTGTATTCTTACTTGTTTATTTCACGAGAAGAGGAATTTTGTCTGTTTCCTGATAATTCCTCAGCTTCTACCTGATAATCCTTCAGGCACATCAAAAATTCTAATATATGCCCTTTGAAGAAATACATGAACTTACATGCTGTCTACACCCCATAGCTTGTGATTCCTCAAAGAAGTCACTCCAATCAGCAGAACTTCGGTCTCCCCCTTCCAAGAGCAGTTCTTCAAAAGCTCTACTAATTGTTTCTCTGTGGGTGTGTAGGAAGGGGCAAGTTGTTTCTCCTTTAACTATTTACTACCTGCGATGCAGCATCCTTCCACCACCCCGAACTCTCTTCTAGTTCTTCAACAATTGTGTCTGAAATGGCTATACTCAGCCCATAGTAGAGGTTTTCCTCAGATTGCTTCCAAGAGCCTGTCCTGAATTTTGAACAGTAAACTAATGTTTACAAAGCACCTACCAGGTGTCAGACATCACGCTGGGAACACCCTGCAGCTACGGTCTTTTTTGATCCTCACAGCAATCCTGCTAGATACGTTGTGTCAACCCCCATATTATCAGGTTGAAAATCACAGAGTTGAAATAAGCTATCCAAAGGGTGGAACAGATCCAAGATTTGGATATAATCACAAGTCTCAAAGCTGGCTATTCTCTCTCCCTCCCTGCTCTCTGTCTCTCTTTTTTCTGTGTACCCACCCGTAATTAGCGAAACTGCGAAGCGTGAGGTCACAGTTACCAAGGCTGCTCTCACTTCTGACACCAAATGCAAGTTCTGAGAGTTCCCAAATGATTTTTGTTTTTGAAAATTCACTACAGGGACTGACAGAACACACTAAAAGCTATTATACTCATACTTATGGTTCGTTACAGGGAAAAGATACAGAATAAAATCAGCCAAAGGAAGACACTCACAGGGTAGGGTCTGAGAGGGCTCCAACACAAATGTTCAGGGTGCGTTACACCCCCAGCATTGATATCTGACAAGCCTCTTAGAGTATTTATCACCAGCTGGGGAATTTCACGCAAGCCTTAATGTCCAGAGTATTCACTAAGGCTCCATTATGTACACGTGATTGACCAGTAATCACCTTCATGCTTGAACTCAGTTTCAAGATCAACTGATCCTGTGTGACCTAAATCACATGATTGCCCTTTTGTCGTTTTCAGCCCCCACCCTAAGACTATCAGGTATTGTTGGCTGCACCCTATGATTTGACATCAGCCTCCACCTTTAACAAATGCACTTCTATTAAGTATGACAAACGTTACCTCCTAGAAGCTGAGGGCAGTAGCCAGATCTCTCCTTGGGCAAAGCCAAATTCTTTACTACCCAGTGCCTGAGTTACCCATGTGGCCTTCAATCTCCTTGTGAAGACAACATAGCGCATTATCACGGCCAGGGTGCTCTGCCAAGTTACATAAACAAACTTAAATTTGTGGACCCAGGGAAGTTACTACAACAGAATGGAGACAGGCTGACACACACACACAGACCAGATCGGATCAGCCCGTCAGCTGTTTCCCCAAGTGCTGGGCCCCATCTCTCAAAGCTTGTTATAGGCTTGGCAGGTTTCTACAGTACTAAGTTGAGAAAAAGCTCAGATGACAGCGAAAGTGAAACATCGGGACTGTAAACTGCTAATTGCCAATTCCATATGTTTGCAAGGCAAACAACAGCGAGGGATATTGGTGGTGAGAAATCGCTAAAGTTTGTGCTTACACAGCTAGTCAAAAAAATGGAATTATGTAAAATCTCATCTCGCACTAATTCTGCCCTCACTCCCAAATCCGGAATTCTTAATGTAAGGAAGAAGCATGTTCACATTTAAATCTCACATCTCCCAAGCATTTGCTCTAGACTTTGTGTAATCTCCTTAACCTTGTCTGTATGTTTTGAGAATATGAAACTGATGAGCAAGACAATACTATGTGTTATAAAAATGATCAATTTAGACTGCAAACATAGACTGCCTGAGTTCAAATCCAACTTTCGGTCTTCACCAGCTGAGTAATTCTCAGCAAGGTGCTCAATATTTCCAAACCTCTTTTCCTCACCCCTGATGTACCTCATTTATAAGGTCTTTGCCATAGAAGAAATGTCCCAACATTTGTTATCTAATGAGAGCACTGGGGAGAAGTGCAAACC